TATACTACACAGTTTGAACATCATCTCAGTACAATATTGAGCTTACATATCACTTAAAACCAATGCATTCGAATTATAATCAGAGATCGGCACTGCGCATGCGTAAATGACGTCACCCAAACACACATCCATCCACTACGTATTGGACCATCCAGCTACGTCATCGTGCTACAGGCTGCAGCGAGGGGTGTCTCGGTAGAGGAGCTAAACTTCAGGTTCTGCAGAGCCACACCCACCCACCGCTGTCATGTTTTGACAGGCCTGCTATAGCTAAGAGCTAAGATAACAAGCTAAGAGGTAGCTAGTCAACAAACATCTGTTCGTGCAGACATGCAGACTGTCATAAAATGATTTGTCAAAAGAAGTATTTTTCTGCTGAAGTAGTTATTCGAGATCACTCGAAGATGGATTATGTCGACATTGATGAGAAGATGAGTGATGAGAAGATCGTGACGACGGTGATAATTATGCTTGAGGGCGGAAAAGATTATCCAATTTTCGGTGAGTTGCTTTATACATAACTTATGTAACATGCACACATTATACGTATGTGTGTCTGTGTGTGTGTGGGTGGGTGTGAGAGAGAGAGAGAGAGAGAGAGAGAGAGTGTTTGGTTTCCAGTTGTTTCATACGGAAAATGCATTGTGTAAAGTTGTGTCTGAAAAGATTATGCTACTTTATATGCATTTATTTATTTGTATATATGTATTTATATGCGTTGGACGGTTATGCAGTTGTTTGCCGTTTTTTTCTGGCACATGTGGTGTGCTATCTGAAGGATTGAGGGGCTGGACACCTGTGCAATATACATTTTTTCCTAGCACACATACTGTATATTTTTACAGTCTAATATACATAATATTTATAGTACAAATGCAAATATTTGTACTGTAAATATGATGTATGTTGTATGTATATATATATATATATATTTTTTGTTTTGTTTGTTTGTTTTGCAGAAATTAGTGGGAAGAATTGCAGAAAATATGTGCTATATAGGAAGGAGTTGTATGCTTTCAAAATGGCACATTCCTGTCTGATGGCCGGCCATCAGTGTGATTGTTGGTTCTTTGTCTGGTCTTCCATATGAATGCTGTCTATATCACTGGCCATCACCGGCCATTGATTGTTGATTGAATGGATGAGCTTTAGTACGAATGCTGTGTAAACGACTGCCCATCAGTTTGATTGTTGAATGAATGGCCAGCTATATAGAAACTAAACAGAATTATTTACTTGACATGCAGTGCTAATTATCTTTCCATTCTTTCCCATGCAACAGTCATCAAGTTGAATCTTCAGATGAAGAATGGCATCCAAGCACCAGCCAGAGATGCAAGCTCTCAGTTTCTTCACTATTCTTCACTTTTTCCATACTTTTCAGAACATTGCAATTGACAAGAGGATGGTGGCATCAAAAGCTAGGAATGGACTAAAGCAATATATGAAGGCCAAGCCAACAAAGTACAGTATTTATATCACTTGTATTTTCTATGGCAAAGAACCTCAGTTATTTATTTTTTATATTTCATAATATTTTACTTATGTATTTTACATATATATTTTTTGTTCTGTTGTGCAAATAAATCACTTGCATAAAGTCTAATGGTTGTGTGTATTATTTTATAATTGCATTATTTTATGAATTGACTGAAATAGCTTGCGGTGCCCTGCATAACATTTGGTCATTAGGTTGCTTTTTGATGTATCCAAGGAGGTTTCTTGGTACCTGGACATAGTCTTGGAAAAAATATTGTAGGAATCTCATTTTTCATAATATCTTTCTCAAATTTGAAATATAAACTGATGAGACTTATGTCTTTCAATCAATTACCTAACTGGATTCCTACAGGTTTGTTTTCATTTATTTTTACATGAAATTGTAAAATATTACATGCAGTATAAATTATCTTCAAGACACTTTAAATTCTATAACTTTTTGTCTGTATAAGTTTTTTCAACTTTAACAGTTGGGTAATACACTCTAAAGTGTCTTCTTTTTAAACATGTCTAAATTGTGCATGTAGTGCAAATAGTTGAGCAACTGCAAATATTTTAGTTTGGGCATGTTATTTCTGGGGATGTGCCTCAGGCAGGGGGAGGGAGAAAGGGAACTGACATAGTCTTGGAAAAAAGTTTGCAGGAACCCCATTGTTCATTATATCTTCCTCAAATTTGAAATATAAACTGATGAGACTTGTGGCTTTCAATCCTTTATCTATCTGAATTACTCCAGGTCTATTTTTATATATTTGTACATGAAATACTAAAACATTTTTGTGGCGCACATTATTTTTGAGGCACTTTTAACTTTTATAACTTTTTTTCTGTTTGAGCATTATCAAATCTGATTGATTGTTAGTAGAGTCCCAACTGTCTTCTTTCCAAAGATACCTTAATTGTGCCTGTGGTACACTGTTCTCAGGAGCTGTATTTATTGTTATCCAGGCATGTCATTTTCAGCTGTGAGCCCCCTTGTGGAGCTGAAGGTTAACAGGTTAAACATAAATTGTAATTGCCAAATTCAAAATATTCTTTCAGGATTCATGATCAACCAACTAATAAAATTTTTGATTCATTTTCAGGTCATCTTCTACGAGGACAGGAACTTCCAGGGTCGCTCTTATGAGTGTATGGGCGACAGTGGTGACTTCTCCTCCTACATGAGTCGCTGTCACTCTTGCAGAGTGGAGAGTGGATGCTGGATGATGTATGATCATCCCAACTACATGGGAAATGGGTATTTCTTTAAAAGGGGCGAGTACGCTGATTACATGTCTATGTTTGGAATGAGCAACTGCATCAGGTCCTGCCGTATGATCCCAATGGTAAGTTCTATAAGCATTTTAACATGTTCATAATAAATCAACTAAAATCAATGTTGTATATATAAGAATATTTATTATATTCTTTACTGTAAAAAACTGATAAACTTAAATGACTTCTCTTCTACAACAGCACAGGGGATCCTACAGAATGAGGATCTACGAGAGGGAGAACTTCATGGGTCAGATGTACGAGATGATGGATGACTGTGACAACATCATGGACCGTTACCGCATGTCTCACTGCCAGTCCTGTCATGTGATGGACGGCCACTGGCTCATGTATGAGCAGCCCCACTACAGAGGCAGGATGCACTACTTCAGGCCTGGAGAGTACAGGAGCTTCAGCAATATGGGTGGCATGAGATTCATGAGCATGAGGCGTATCATGGACTCCTGGTACTAGTGTTTTAGCATTATGATGAATTACTTTCTCTATAAAAATAAAACAAAACAATTTCATAAAACTCGCTTCAGTGTCATCAATATTTGTATCCCCACTAAAATGCCTCATGAGATATAATTCATAATCACAAAATATTATTAAAGACCTTACAAACAAGCATGACTCCAGATCTTCAGATATGAGAATGAGTGTCATGACATTTCAGCCCATTCTCACCCCCAAGGCGTCACTTAACTGACGCCTTGGGAAGCATTTGGACATGCTTCAATATCTGACGCTTTAGGCGCCCTTTAGCGTCAGTTAGATGACGCCCTAGGATCGCGTGTACCCTACCCCCACCCCAGACCTAAACCTAACCGCGTCCTCTAACTGACGCTTTCCTTTAGCGTCAGTTAGATGACGCCGTAGGATCGCGTCATGTAAGTGACGCTAACGGGCGCCTAAAACGTCGAATATTGAAGCATGGTCAAAGGTGACGCCTTGGGGTGAGAATGCGTTGTTATTTGTTTTTAAAAGTATCTGATTATTAACAAGCAAAAATAAATAAAACTGCAAACAACTTTGTAAGTAAACCGAAATTACGGTGTACGTTTCTGTAATTATAGTGTACCTCCGGGTCGGTATAAGGGGACCATATGTTCAGTTTTGGGTAATAAAGGGGTAACAAGCAGATATACAAGCAACTGATGGCCCATTGAAATGGCTGCTAATGAGGCTAATGAATCTAATTAATCTATGTATACATTTCAATGTTTTCTACAAGCGGTTAGCGTGGATAATATGTCACTGATAGGCGACAATGACAAGAGATGAGAAATTATCTAATACTGTAATTTCTCTGGATTTACAAATGGATTTACAATTTACAAATTATCTCTGGATAATGTACGTACACAAGTGCATTAATATACTGTATAGCACACTGTGAAAGTGTTTTTTTCGTACAAAAATCTTACATATTGTACCTTTAATCTTTTAGCCTGTCTTCGTCATACTCATATTCTAATATGAGTCTGAAACTCCTCCGTAGGGCTTTGATTATGAGGCGTGTCTTAACCGAACCAGGAAAAAACAAACAAACTCTGCACTCAATTGGATAGTCGGTAGACCAATCAGAGCAACGCATTAAGTCAACTCCTTTGCATAGTGCAGTTTTCAACTACAGAACTTACTTATTTTAGAAGTTAAATAACGAGTGTTGCTTCTTTTACTTACTTCTCCATGAGTGTGACCAAAGGAGAAACCACAACGACCACAGGCTTTTCATTACGTTCCATCTTCTGAGCGACCGTCAGAGCCAGCTGATAAGTTACACTTTTCCAGAATCATGTAGGAAGGACGCCAAAAATATCTTTCCGATCGACAAATGCCTTGATTGCAGTTCTCTGTTTGTCTATTAAAATTAATGCGCTGATTTATTTTATAACAGACACGACAGCGGAATCTATTATACATCTCAATTCTCCAGCTCCAGTCATCTTTGAGGGAGAAGCGCTCTTTGATAACGTGATGATTACAGTACGTCCTTGCAGATCATCTGTCCATCATCGTATAAAGCCCGCCCTGGCAATTTGATTGGCCCGAACGTTTCTTGTCTGATCATAATTACTCCACAATGGATCGAGTCCAGACCGAACTTCTCGACCAAAAAATGTTGTGGGCGGAGTTCGGGCTGGCATCCAGGCTATTAATCTTTACTAATTAGATTAGAATTGTCATGTGAGCAACAGCAAGTGTGTAACAGTGATCTGAGTGCTTGATGTTGAATAGGTCAGAAAATGCCAGGTGACTATGTCTATTGGGAAAAAGGAAAGCATGAACTTGTTGTCTCTTCTCCATTTAGTCACATGAGAGTTCAAGCCCACTAAGGTATGAGGTCATACCTCATGAAGAACTACTACTAATTGAAGAGTTCAGATGCAAAAGCCTCTAAATGCCATTTGAAATTTTCTTCTTTAACGATGATTTTTATCAAACTTGTATATTTTATTTAATTAATTTCACTTAAATAACAATTAATAGGTAATTATCATTGCCATTTAAGTGAAATTACTGAACTTAAATATACAAGTTTGATAAAAATCATCATTAAAGAAGAAAATTTCAAATGGCATTTAGAGGCTTTTGCATCTGAACTCTTCAATTATCTACTAATTAAGGTTCAAGAATAATAAAAAGTAACTAATGAACAGTTATACAAAACTACATTGAATTGTGAACTTTCTTATTCACTAATATTGTTAATAGAAGTAGCAATTTACCAAATACATATAATGTTAAAGTTAAATATTTGCCTGTGTGGTTTTGTGAGCATGTTCTGTAAGAAATCAACTTCACAAAGGAACCCCACACAAGTGCTTTGCTATAACTAACCTCAGATTAGTTTTATATTTTATACAGTTCTGTGTGTGTCTGTTTTCCTAGAATCCCATTGAGTAAATTCATGTATTCGAGGCAACAACTGAGGGAAACTGAAAATATAGGATAATTATTAGTAATTAATAAATAATTATTAGACAATTCTTCAGGAATTATTTATAACCCGAAACAGTATTCTAAACTGAAAATATAAGGAACCCATTAATAATTAATAAAGAACCATCAAATAATTATCCAGGAATTAGGCAACTGATAAACTGAAACAGTATTCTAAAGTGAAAATATGAGGAAATTAATTGTTAATTAATAAATAATTATTAGATATTTCTTCAGGAATTACTTAGAACCCAAAACAGTATTCTAAAGCGAAAATATAGAGACCAGATTAGTAATTATTAAAGAATTAGGCCTACATATTGCATGCCGGGCGATGTCTCTTCTTCATAAGTGGTTCTGATCCTCTCTTAGTCTGACCCAGGACCTGTGTGCCTTGGGAGACCCTACCAGGAGCATATAGCCCCAGACAACATAGCCCCGGATCATTCGGGTACTCAAACGATAAGGTGACAGTTCAAGGAGGGGCGACATCAACTAAATATATTTAATATATTTTAAATCCTATTTCTCTCATGGCTAAACTTCAGTAGCCTTATGGTGCTACTTTAGTGCAACTTCACAAATCTCAGCGAACAAATACTTACTACTGATGCATGAACTTTGTTTATTAACTGCTTCTATGTCACACTAGAGTCTATCTCCTTGGACATTTTATTTTTCTTATTGTGCTTATGTAGTTTGGACAGTTTTTATATTCTTTTTATGTTTTATAAAGGATATTGAACCAATAAAACATGTTAAGCACTTTAAACATTGTTTTGTTATTTATATTTACAGATCAATCAAATTGCAAGATGTAAATGTTCATGTGATCTACACACGGCAGGCTCCATAAGCGCAATATATAAAATAGCCTTTTGGTTTTGTTCAAAAGCACTGTCCTTTTCTTTCACTTTACTTTTTTAATGAAAAAAATAATAATAAATAAATAAAATACTGAGCGCACCTTAAATTTATTGACTAGTTAAACTGTTCTATACCGCAAAAATACATTTTAAAAATATCATAGATACGCCTCATGCGAATCTCATGCGACCCATATTGCTGAAGCTCCTGTACTCTCCAGGCCTGAAGTAGTGCATCCTGCCTCTGTAGTGGGGCTGCTCATACATGAGCCAGTGGCCGTCCATCACATGACAGGACTGGCAGTGAGACATGTGGTAACATTCCATGATGTTGTCACAGTGTTTTACTATGTAAAAGGCAGTGTGCTGCAATGCTGGGTCAGGCATTCATATACAATAGGGGACACACAGTCTTTGAACTGGAACAGGTATATAAAGGTAGCCAAGCGCAAAGAACAGTGCATTGGAGCCATATCAACTTGTTAACAGTTGACAGACTGACATCATGGGCAAAGTGCGTTCTCAATTAGATTTACATTATAAAATGTTATATAGCACCTTAAACATAAATTGTAATTGCCAAATTCAAAATATTCTTTCAGGATTCATGATCAACCAACTAATAAAATTTTTGATTCATTTTCAGGTCATCTTCTACGAGGACAGGAACTTCCAGGGTCGCTCTTATGAGTGTATGAGCGACTGTGGCGACTTCTCCTCCTACATGAACCGCTGTCACTCTTGCAGAGTGGAGAGTGGATGCTGGATGATGTATGATCATCCCAACTACATGGGAAATGGGTATTTCTTTAAAAGGGGCGAGTACGCTGATTACATGTCTATGTTTGGAATGAGCAACTGCATCAGGTCCTGCCGTATGATCCCAATGGTAAGTTCTATAAGCATTTTAACATGTTCATAATAAATCAACTAAAATCAATGTTGTATTTATAAGAATATTTATTATATTCTTTACTGTAAAAAACTGATAAACTTAAATGACTTCTCTTCTACAACAGCACAGGGGATCCTACAGAATGAGGATCTACGAGAGGGAGAACTTCATGGGTCAGATGTACGAGATGATGGATGACTGTGACAACATCATGGACCGTTACCGCATGTCTCACTGCCAGTCCTGTCATGTGATGGACGGCCACTGGCTCATGTATGAGCAGCCCCACTACAGAGGCAGGATGCACTACTTCAGGCCTGGAGAGTACAGGAGCTTCAGCAATATGGGTGGCATGAGATTCATGAGCATGAGGCGTATCATGGACTCCTGGTACTAGTGTTTTAGCATTATGATGAATTACTTTCTCTATAAAAATAAAACAAAACACTTTCATGAAACTCGCTTCAGTGTCATCAATATATGTATCCCCACAAAAATGCCTCATAAGATATAATTCATAATCACAAAATGTTATTAAAGACCATACAAACAAGCATGACTCCAGATCTTCAGATATGAGAATGAGTGTCATGACATTTATGAGCATAGGGCATGCCATAATTACTTGTTTTTAAAAGTATCTGATTATTAACAAGCAAGAATAAATAAAATTTGCTTTCAACAGTTTACAATGTAAATTCAGCAATTGCATTCTCCACACTACAAGACAGAAATGCAAAAACAGATTAGGAACTCGCTCTAGTTTGACCAGGTGAGTGTTGATTTTTAAGCTGGTTTAAAGCCATCACAACCTCTGAGCAGAATTATTCCCAAACAGCAACCCTTAAGAATAAAAAAATAATTACCTTTAAGAAGCACAGGAAAACAATATTTTTTAGAGTACAGTTTAACAATTATCGTTAAGGATTCTGTTAAAAGAGAGCTTCTTTTTTTCACCACCAGAGGGTGCATTTTGAAAACAAAGGCGAAGTTTGATGACGCTATGAAAGTGAGTGGAACAAATGGAATATGTTGTTTTTACCAGGCAGAGATGTTTGGTATAATTCTTTTATTTCACGAATCATGTTCACGGATTAGGTAATAAATTATTTTTTGTATTACCTGTAGCCTATGTCATCACACTATTTTATGTCATCTTAATGAAGCTGAAAGAAAGCCTGTTACTAATATGTGACTTTTTTTTAAAAGATGTGTTAATGCTGCACAGTTTTACACATTTAAAACAATTATACTGAAAGTAAATTTAACGAAACCACAAATTTGCATCGCCTGGCTAACGCCAGACCACGTATCATGAGAACAGGGAACGTTCCCAGAACATTCACTAACGTTCTTTAAAAGTTGTGTAAATGTTAGGACAAAACGTTATTAAAATAATGTTTTCGGAACGTTCATATAACGTTATTAACGTTCTTGTAACGTTGAGAGAAAACGTTCTTAGAACAACGTTCTTGGAACGTCTTTATCACGTTATTTGTATTTGATGAACGTTCTCATTACGTTGATAAAAAACGTTCTTAGAACAACGTTATCGGAACGTCTTTATCACGTTATTTGTGTTTGATAAACGTTCTCATAACATTCCAGCAACATTATGCTAACCTTAGGATAACGTTCTAACAACATTATGCTAACGTTCCAGCAACGTTCTGCAAACATTAAGACACCGTTCCAGCAACGTTAAGCAAACTGGACATTTCCACGTTTTTAGAACATTTTAAATTAACGTTCCCACAACCAAAATGGAACGTTAGAAAAACGTTCTCAGAACCTAACTTTGTTAGCTGGGGAGATATGAGGTTTCAATTAAGAAAGGGAGGCTTACTGCGCTACTGAAAATGCCAAAACGATCCGGTGCAACCAGGGCAGGACAAGATTAGACAGAACGGGAGAAACACCGGTGCACAGATCTTCTAGGAGCAAATTTATTAGAGGTGCAACAATTGACTAACGTTTCGATGTACAACTACATCTTCATCAGAGTCCTTGACTCTGATGAAGATGTAGTTGTACATCGAAACGTTAGTCAATTGTTGCACCTCTAATAAATGAGATATGAGGTTTGTTTGAGATGAGCAAAATCTGCGCAGAATCGATCACCGGCGATCAGCGCAAGATGCATGCCGGTTAGAAATGTGTCTGAGAGCGGTTTGCCTGGCTCTGATGTCATGCCGACATACAGTATGTCAAAAAACTCTCGCGAGCGCAAGGCGTTGCTGTCGGATTCTGCAGTCGCTTGCAGTTTCTCTCCACCGACTGCGCTGATCAAAAGCACGATGGGAAACGACTTGCTGACGACACAGCTTAATGCTCTATGGTTTAAGATGTATATAGTTAAATAAATCCACTTTAGAGACGGAACGTTACGTGTGCTTACTGGAGCTTCCATTGCCGCCTGATCTACTATGCACCAGCCCCTTACAATCCCTCCTGCAGATAATGAGCCCCCGCGGGTGGGCCCACCATGCTGGCCAATATCTCGGCCCTTAGTTTTTCTTTCGGGGTTCTGAACTGCTCTTAGTCTGACCCGTCACCTAGGACCTGTTTGCCTCGGATGACCCTACCAGGTTCATATGGCCCCGGACAACGTAGATCCTGGGATTATTCGGCTACTCAAACCCCTCCACCACGATAAGATGACAGTTCATGAGGGGTGACACAAGTTCAACAATGAGGGGTGACAAGTTCAATGAGGATCAACTATATATATATATATATTTATTTAAATTAAATCCTATTTCTCTCATGGCTAAACTGCAGTAGCCTTATGATGCCACTTTAGTGCAACTTCACAAATCTCAACAAACAAATATTTCATTTTCCCCCACGTTTTTCCCTTGAACTTTCTACTGATACCAACTGCTGCATGAAGTTTGTTTATTAACTGCTTCTACTTCACACTAGAGTCTATCTTTGGACATTTAATTTTTCTTCTTGTGCTCATTTAGTTTGGACAGTTTTTATATTATTATTTTTTTATAAAGCATATTGAACCAATGAAACATGCAAAGCACTTTCAACGTTATTTTGTTATTTCTATTTACAAATCAATCAAATTGCAAGACGTAAATTGCAATGTGATCTACACACAGCAGGGTCCATAAGCGCAATATATAAAATAGCCTTTTGGTCTTGTTCAAAAGCGCTGTCATTTTCTTTCACTTTACTTTTTTAATGAAAAAAATAAATAAAACATACTGAGTGCACCTTAAATTTATGGACTGGTTCAACTCTTTATTGTAGTACCGCAAAAATACATTTTAAAAATAAGAATCATTGATACGCCTCATGCTCATGAATCTCATGCCACCCATATTGCTGAAGCTCCTGTACTCTCCAGGCCTGAAGTAGTGCATCCTGCCTCTGTAGTGGGGCTGCTCATACATGAGCCAGTGGCCGTCCATCACATGACAGGACTGGCAGTGAGACATGCGGTAACGGTCCATGATGTTGTCACAGTCATCCATCATCTCGTACATCTGACCCATGAAGTTCTCCCTCTCGTAGATCCTCATTCTGTAGGATCCCCTGTGCTGCAAAAGCATGAACAGAAATGTACAATTTGTGTTAAATTGTTAAAAGAGCATTTAGTGAACAACAGCTGTAGGTAAATTTGTATGAATTATGCTCTTACCATAGGGATCATACGGCAAGATCTGATACACTGATTCATGCCAAACATAGACATGTAATCAGCATAGTCACCCCTCCTGAAGAAATACTGATTTCCCATGTAGTTGGGGTGATCATACATCATCCAGCACCCACTCTCTATTCTGCAAGAGTGACAGCGACTCAGGTAGGAGGAGAAGTCACTACAGTCACCCATACACTCATAAGAGCGACCCTGGAAGTTCCTGTCCTCATAGAAAATTATCTGTTTTGAAACACAAAAGAAACAATGCAATTTGTGTAATTTGTACTTTGTACAAACTTGTGCACTTTTAAATGAGTAAAAGTAGCATCCTAAAGATGTACTATTGTTTTTATATTTAAGTATCAGTAGTACTTACCCTGCCCATGATGGTAGTGGTAGTCTTTCAGAGCACTTTCGTACTGGTACACTAACCCTTTGCTCATGTTAACCCTTACATTTATACCTTCCCAAACCTAAAGAATATGTGCCTCCTATTGTGGAAACTCCTGACAAAGCAGCATGGTATAGAGGCCCATGAAAAGCTAAAGTACTTTTGTAATATGTCAAATGTAACTGAATCTCCTATTTCTATGTTTATCAGTCTCAAGTAGCCAGTAGATGGGTTTGCATCTTGATGTTTCTTTTGTGTTGAACGAACAATCAAGTGAACCTACAGTCACATGAGATGTAAGCACAGACTAGGCAATTCTTCCTCAACCAATCCATAAATTTACTCAGAATTAATTGTAAAATAACCCTCTTTACCCGAGCTGGCAGATCAATTTGACAAGATTCCCAGCATATTCAGGGATAGGAAAATACATTATATATATATATATATATATATATATATATATATATATATATATATATAGTATATGAAATAAAAGAAAAAAAATAAAGAAAGTGAGACAAAAAAGGTAAAATGGGTTTGGAAGATGTAAACCATCAAACGCATATAATAAAGCATATATGTTTAAAATTATAACGTGTAGCCATTTGCCTTACCACAATCATTTTATTTTCACTTAAATTACAAATATTGGGGAAAATCAGAGTTTTTGACTAACTTGAGCAGTGTATATACTATGTTGAAAAGTCCAAATTTACACATTTGATCAATAGATCAAACCACCAAATGTCTATGTTGTAACATTGTTTTTGAAATGTTGTGGTATATTAGAACATCTATGTCTAGTATAGTAACATCTAGTATAGAAGATCTGCAATCAGAATAATTTAATATATATATTTTTTTTAACCTAGCATTTTCACAAAAATACATTTGAAATTAGCCTTGCCAAAACCTTTTGTCCTGTATCTCAATATGTTTAAACATTACTTTAAATGTTGTAAAAGTATGGTATTTTAAGCAGATCAATTTTGATTAACACTGTGTTTGATAAAATTAAAAATGTTATTGTGGAGTGTATATAACCTGTAGGTTAATTCGAAACGGTCCACAATGAAGGCACTCTGAACGTTTCCATACTGGTCTGCTGAGTCAGGAGGTTGTCCTCAATCTCAATAGCAAGCACACAGTTTTATTCAGTTCGCTCGGGTATAAAAGTAGGGTGAGACCTGTCAGGAGGACAGTGCAGTGTAAAGGGAATAGCAACCAATAACAAAATAAAAAAATGACCACCAGCAGCATGAGCACGTGCAGGGTAAGTATTCATATAAATAACAACAAAATACAGCTTTCTCTCTCTAGTAGAATGCAATATTTACTGAAATGTATGCATACCTTATAAATTCCTAGTAACCTCTTATCTTTAATCTTCTCAGGCCGTCTTCTATGAGGAGAGAAATTTCCAGGGTCGCTCTTATGAGTGCATGAGTGACTGCGCCGACATGTCCCCCTTCTTGAGTCGCTGTCACTCTTGCAGAGTGGAGAGTGGCTGCTTCATGATGTACGATCGCCCCAACTACATGGGAAATGGGTATTTCTTTAGGAGGGGCGAGTACGCTGACTACATGTCTATGTTTGGCATGAGCGACTGCATCAGATCTTGCCGTATGATCCCTATGGTAAGAGAACAATATGTGAAGTGCCATTTGAAATTTTGTTCTAAAATGACCATTTTTATCAAGCTTGTGCATTTAAGTTCAGTAATTTCACTTAAATGACAATTAATAGGTAATCTTCATTGCCATTTAAGTGAAATTACTGAACTTAAATATACAAGCTTGATAAAAATGATAATTTTAGAAGAAAATTTCAAATGGCACTTAGAGGCTTTTGCATCTGAACTCTTCATGTACTTCCAAAAAATGTTTAATGTTCCAAAACAGTTTAGCAAAATGTTTACCTGTCTGTTTATATGTTTCCAGCACAGAGGATCCTTCAGAATGAGGATCTACGAGAGGGAGAACTTCATGGGTCAGATGCACGAGATGATGGATGACTGTGACAACATCATGGACCGTTACCGCATGTCTCACTGCCAGTCCTGTCATGTGATGGACGGCCACTGGCTCATGTATGAGCAGCCCCACTACAGAGGCAGGATGCACTACTTCAGGCCTGGAGAGTACAGGAGCTTCAGCAATATGGGTGGCATGAGATTCATGAGCATGAGGCGTATCAGTGATTCCTTCTATTAAAAAGTAAACTGTATTAATGTGAGACTGTGTTAAGAAAATGTGTGTTACTTGACAATAAAGCACTTCTGAACTACTCTCTTAAAACACTTTTGTTTAGTTTTAAGTATAGTAAAATTAAATTTAGTAAAAGCCATGGCCTCTAAGTACTTGAATAAGACGCCATTATTTATTGGTCAAAAATTATGACCAGTAATTTTATATTTGAAATAATTAAATATTTTATAATATTTCGAATAACTTTAGAAATCCTTTTTTATGAAATTATGGATCTCTCACTGTAGTCATATTTTTTGGTCGATCTAGAATACAAGTAATTCGATTCAAAACTGTTCCACTCTAATTGAATCTTCTTCACTCACTTTTGGTCAGGATATCTTCAAACCTTCAGCCTGACAAAAATAATCTGAATGGATTTTCTGTATACAAAAAAAATGGTCTATAAAATGCCAATGAATTTGACATGAAGTAAACAGGCAATTTGGCTGTAACTTGGTAAGTCTTTCACTAATTTAAATAAAATTTTGTAAATGTCATAACCAACAATTTCTGACAGTATGAGCAGAATAAGCAATGCATGACTATGAAAGGTGTAATCAAATATAATGTAATATAATTTGTGAATTATAGCTTAAAAGGATAGTTCACCCAAAAATGAAAATTCTGTCAGAAATTATTCATCCTGTTGTTCCAACTTCACAAGACTTTTGTTCGTCTTCAGAACACAAATTAAGATAATTTTTATTCAAATCTGAGTCAAGTCAAGTATATTTATAAAGCACTTTTCACAATATAGATTGCATCAAAGCAGCTTCACAGTATCAATCAAAACATAATAGCCATGTTCGTTTCTTAGTGGAAAAACATCCATGTTTGGTAGAGCTGATCAATAGTATTAATGATTTGGATAATTAATTTGAATGTCCCCAATTGAGCAAGCCAAAGGGAACAGTGGCAAGGAACCGAAAAAACTCCATCAAGTGACCTAATGCTGTCCTAAAACTCCATCAGGTGACCCAATAGAGGAAAAAAAAAAAAACTTGGGAGAACCCAGGCTCAGTCGGGGTTAGGGTTGGATATTGGTTGGGTTTTAAACATACTATCAGTACTCTGTATTTTTTAAATGGTTCTGGAAAACAAAACCGCACACACTTTGTCAAAAAATTTTACCCTTTTATTTACAAGGCCAAACTGGACACAATATTAACTTAAATCTTTAAACTATATGAATATAAGTAACATATGGTAATAATAAATAAACTAATATAACATAAAAATTCACATTTACATAATGTCAAATAAAACAATATTTTATCAAACAATGTAATAATACCGAAGATTAATAGAGTTTAATACCAGGGTTATCTAATATCGACATAGCTACAGGTTCCCATGTTTTGTCTGCTTAGTCATGTAAGTTCCTGTATCTGGTCATTGTACTGGGTAGTTACGCAGCGTTTAGCTTGGCGAGTTTGGTATTTCGTTCCCACTGTGTCTTAGCAGCTTTGAGTATGAGAAAGTCTCTGGTTACTGGTGTAACCCTTGTTCTCTGAATAGGGAGCGAGACGCTGTATTCGCTGCCAAACTCCTTGCGCCTGCCGACAAGTTTCCTTTTTCGGCAGAGAAATCTGAGGAGCAGATGATGCGCGCACAATTATAACATGACGACGTAAGAACGTCAAGGCGACGCCCGCGCTATCAGCCAATGGATTGGCCTGATTCTATGGGCTTCAGACAATCAGCACACATTTTGTCTTCTGCATCTTTATTAATCCCCTCGCCATTAGCAGACGTTCCGGGAGTCTGCCGTATATTTATAAAGGCTCCCTGATGCCTGCTCGAGGGAGAGAGCAAGACTTTGCGTGCATGCGCGTCATGACTCCAATGGCGCCACCAGGGGGTGGCCAGGGGTGGCCATGGCCACCCCTGGCCGACTCCTGGCCACCCCATTGGCCACCCCAATGGCCAGTATTAATTTTTGTAGCATCAGTTATGCATTTTATAAATAAGTCAAAAATATTCTTAACTAAAAGAAGACGGGGAATTATGTGTCGTGCCGTGCTTTTTAAGTGCCAAATGGTATACAGCAGCTTTTAGGTGTGTTTTTGCCACGTTTGGACAGGCAGGGATGCAAACAGCGCGCTTTTCGGCGCCTCCCGCTTTTTTCACGTCAGTTTGGGTGACAAAGTCATCTGAAGTCATTCCATAGCTTAATGTGAGGGACAGAAGTATATTTACATCTGTTAGGGGTTAACAGTTAAAGGACCCAGAACCAGATATGAAGAATGAAGACCCGGAGTCGGAATTATAAAAATTAAAGAAAGTTTTACTGAACATAGTTTGCCATTTCATCAGCAGAAGTCAGCTTCAAGACTCCCTCAGGAGTTCGTAGGCCGCCCCCCTTACAGTTACAAAGATCACGGCAGTTATACTGTTTCCAAGGTCTAAGCTACGTCATTGCTTACACGTTGAATGATTCTCATTGGCTACGATATAGATAAACACAGTAATTTTCCACACATATACAGATAGACGAAACATATCTCCATCGATGAGGCACGTCATGACCTTCCAGGTCACAGATTTGGGTTGCTGGCGCCAGTGTGTCCAGAACAACAACTCATTCAATCTCCAATAATGGCAGTGGTTCCTTAACCTGCAACTAAGAAGACTAACACTAAACTTTAATCTAACTGGAGTAAGACTTTAACAAAGAAATAGTGCCTTAAACTGTTGGCTTCAATGACCCCTTTATGTTTTAACACTCAAACATAAACCAAATCCCTATTTCCTTATTATTTTCACTGTTACTGCATTCACATAGGACACTAGCAAATAGGAGCTCCCATCAAGGCTGAAGAGAGTCTGAGCGGCTTATTATCAGTTAAGTGTACCAAAACATAATGGTAAAACATTCACTCGTTTGGGAGAAAAACAGATAACATTTGCTTCTCAGAAAGCAAATATAATAGAAAGAATACAGTTTAATATAACAATTAAAGTTCAATAAAGCAATGCTCAATATAGCTTGACCATCTGTACAGAGAAGTATCATATGTGTTGGACATATGTGTTCACGACGCCTTTATGATCCATAAACCTTTCTCCTGAGACCAGAGAAAGAGACAAATGGCCTTGTGCACCTAAAAGAAGCTGGTGACTTGTGCATGTACATCAGCATGCATTTAAGAATATTATTTCACAAGCAAAAGCACAAAGAATACATTTATGTAAATAAATGATTAAGTAACAATAAACATACTTAATTATTGATTTTATAAAAGAAATACATAATCATTCAAAATTATATTATAAAATATATACTTAAGAGGCAAGGGATTTTGACCACCCCTTCACATCATTAAAATATAAACTCGTTTTCCCTCCTCTGCGACTGTCATCATTCTCCATTCATATTCAACAGCACGCGCGCCTCTTGGATGCACGGTAAAACTCTCTCCAATATGATATATTGACATTATAAATGCATGATCTGTAGATAAAAGTCTGTATATTCGCATAAAATTACTTTATTTTCTTGGAGTTTGTTGCTGTTTTTAAGCGACTCACTACCGTGTTCTGTTAGATCACACATACATATCACACGGATTAGCCTATGAATCGGCATCAAACGCACAATAACTGTGAAACAAAGGAACAAATCGCACTTGGATTTGTGTGCTCAACATTTTTTCGATTTGTGACATGAGCTTTTAAATGCACACTTATGAAGCGCAGTGCTGCTGCACACTGTGACTCCATGTTGCTTTGAGCACATCATTCTGCACCCGCGATGTTTTTCATGTAATCATGCAAGAACGGGCTCAATCATGGGTTTGCGCACTGAAATATTATTAAAAGCCAATATATTTTGTTATACCTAGCCTGCTCAATACATTTTAAATAAGCATAATTTAATTGTATATAATTTATTTGTAGTTTAGGCTATGCACTTCTGACTTCTTGACAGTAATATATAAATATAAAATTGTGACATGATTGCCTGATTGAATTTTAAAAGAGAACTAATAGTAATTTGTTTTTATTAACATATTTAGATTTTATAAAATTACTGTGCAGATTTTTTCAAGAATTACTTTTTGCTGCTGATGTATACACTCATTAAGTGTATTAAAAATTCATAATACATGTATGTAATATTTAAAGGTGTTAACTGTAATCTTATCTTACACTGCAAACTAATAACTTAAAAATGATTAAATTCATCACAATTATGTAAGTATCTGGAAATTTGCTGTGGGGCAAGGACCCTTATATATCATATAATATATATCATTATATACAATGTAATATATATTAGTTGGGCCCTACTAATATCATTAGTAACATTAAATATTACACAATAAACCAAAGTATATCAGTAGGAGTTTCCTTAAGTCTTTCTGATAGTTTTCTACAGGCTGGTTTATTACAACAGTAGAAAACAATTCTGAAATTATGGTTTATACTGTAGTTTTGGTGTGCCACCCCAAGATTTTAACTGGCCCCATCTGGCCACCCCTACGAAAAATTTCTGGAGGCGCCACTGCATGACTCATGACACAGAGACTCAGCAGGCACCGAAATCAGGCACCAAAATTGTCATTCTTATTCGGCCTGGTTAGTACTGTTTACGTCGGAACCGGTTCCCTATTGGCACCGCGCTTTGGTACCCAACCGTAATCGGGAGCCAGTTCTCCTCTGGCAATGCCACGGCATGGTTACGAAAAAGGGGAGTGAGGACTTAAGTGCAGAGCAAGATATATTTTTTTACAAAAAGAAAACAAACACAAAGCAAAAATCCACGAGGGGGAAAACACAATAAGTAAAACGTGAAACAATAACTGAACTTGATGAACACAAACTGAACCTGAACAAGAAGACCATCACAGGGAAAATGGGAGACAATTAATGACAACGATCCAACAAAGTCTGCAAACAAGAGGGGACTTAAAAAGGGAACAAATCAAGAGGGGACAGGTGGGAGAACTCAAACACTAATCAGGTAACGAGGGGGAGGGCTCAGACAATGATGAGAGCACATGGCCCAAAATAACAAAACACCCATGTGCAATACAAGACAGGACAGGCATGTGACATTACCCCCTCACTACGGAGTGGCAACCAGACGCTCCATCAGGCGGGACAGGAGGGACAGAACAGGGCGGGAAGGGAGGGACAGAACGCTTAGTCCTGGGAGGCCAGGGCGAAACGAAGAGTCCATCGGGCGGCCAGGACGGTGAAGACCCCTAGGGTGGCCAGGGCGGGGAAGACCCCTCAGGCGGCCAGGGAGTCACATGCACATTAAGAATTGATTCTATAGTTATGTGCATTTGAATATATGTGCTCAGGTTTGTAAATCCCTACAAAACCTTGTCTGAACAAACTACTTGTCTATAAATTTGATACCGAATTTTGTTTTATTTTATCACTTCGGGGTAGGTGCAAAACAAATTCACAACGCTTTATCTATAGTGGGAAAGGGATCCTCCATAGGGAGAGGCCAGTTGGCACTTCAGCACTGCATTGGGTCCAGCCTTAGCTCCTTGTCAGATCTGGAGAACAGCAAACCATCAAGTGTTCTACTTTCTAAAGGCTGAAATATCTAAATTCTATTGATAAATTAAAAAAAAATGGATTAGGTGCTCTCATAAAAGCAATATCAGAATAAAATATATCCTATTACAGTTGTTCACTCTGACAAGCGAAAGCCTATTAAAGTCATTTGAATATTAATGTTTGCTATACTTTTGCCAATATAGATGAAAAATAATTATAAAAATTGTGTTAAAAACTTAACATGTTTTAAAAGCAAACAACAGTTACTGTAGTTTACATTAATAGGTTAATGATAAAAACAATATGTTTAATAAATTCCTCCACAAGCACAAGTAACACAAGCATATTTGGTTTGAGCTTCATTTTGACTGTTTAAAATGCTTTCTTGTCATTGGAATTGCTTTACAAGCAGAAATTTCTAATTTTCTCCATCACAAGGCTTGAAATAATAACCCTTTCAGGTCTGTAGTAGCAAACTGTACCACTCGCTACACCATGCAGCTGACTAAGGCCTTTTTAAACAATAGGAATACAAATTCTTTGGGAGTCCATATAGTATAAATTAGGCAGCAGGCTGTTGTTACAGCAGCAAGTTTGGAATAACCACAACCACAATCATGCACGGAAAGGTAAGCCTTAAAAATTCTCACCATCTTATAAAACATGCAAAGCATTTATTTGCTTTTCTGATTTATTATGGTATCTCAGCTCTAATTGATATATTGAAAATAAAACACGGCAATTCAAATAAAAGAAATGGTTTTTGAAGAACCATGTGGATACTGTGTTGGGTGACGGTAATATAGTATTGATGAATAGTAATTAATTCAATGTTGATTTTTTGTTTTTTGTTTTTTAAATTTGCAGGTCATCTTCTACGAGGACAGGAACTTTCAGGGTCGCACTTATGAGTGTATGAGCGACTGTGGTGACTTCTCCTCCTACCTGAACCGCTGTCACTCATGCAGAGTGGAGAGTGGATGCTGGATGATGTATGATCGTCCCAACTACATGGGAAATCAGTATTTCTTCAAGAAGGGCGAGTACGCTGACTACATGTCTATGTTTGGCATGAGTGACTGTATCAGATCTTGCCGTATGATCCCCATGGTGAGTTCCATGTACATTTTGCATTTGTAAAAACTTTTAAAAAAATATTTTTAAATCCATTTGCTCAAAAAGCATAGATGATAATTTCAGAATGCCAATTCGTAAAAACTTAAACCTTGAACCTAAACTACCGCCTGACAACTTCCTCAATACAGTACAAAGGCTCCTACAGAATGAGGATCTACGAGAGGGAGAACTTCATGGGTCAGATGTACGAGATGATGGATGACTGTGACAACATCATGGACCGTTACCGCATGTCTCACTGCCAGTCCTGTCATGTGATGGACGGCCACTGGCTCATGTATGAGCAGCCCCACTACAGAGGCAGGATGCACTACTTCAGGCCTGGAGAGTACAGGAGCTTCAGCAATATGGGTGGCATGAGATTCATGAGCATGAGGCGTATCATGGACTCCTTTTACTAGAGATTTAATGTTTCAATAAAATAACTTCTATACAACATTAAACATTGTGTTTTGAACCATCTTTAACAAATCTCCAATGGATTAAATTAAACTAGCAAATAACATAAAACAAAAATATTATTATTTTTATATATATATATATATATATATAGAAGCAAATGTCTGACAGATTTTGGTAACACTTTATTTTACGACCCGCAAACAACTGCATAAGTAAACCGAAAGTACGGTGTTCGTTTCTGTAATTATGATGTACTTCTGTGTAGGTATAAGGGAACAATATGTTAAGTTTTGGGTAATAAAGGGGTAACAAGCAGATATTCAAGCAAATTATTTATTATGTAATTATTTTAAAACTAACAGGTACATTCTGTTAATGTATTCCAGGCAAAAAAAAATTACTTCTGTTGTATCTAAAAGTAATCATCAGATTTCTCGCAAAATATGTCTTTAATATGGTAATTTTGACAGCTGTGGGTTGAAAATTAAACGTGTATATATGAAGAGTTCAGATGCAAAAGCAATGCCATTTGAAATTTTCTTCTAAAATGACCATTTTTATCAAGCTTGTATATTTAAGTTCAGTAATTTCACTTAAATGACAATTAATAGGTAATCTTCATTGCCATTTAAGTGAAATTACTGAACTTAAATATACAAGCTTGATAAAAATGATCATTTTAGAAGAAAATTTCAAATGGCACTTAGAGGCTTTTGCATCTGAACTCTTCATATACACAGACAACAGAACAAACAAAGACCAGAATGGATTTATCAGAGAAGGATGTCTATGAAGTAAATGTGTAAAATATTTATGCCTATAGCTGCTGTGCGCAAGCTGATACGAAGCTGACATGAAACTCGGAGTGGCAAGCTTGATGAGCACACATCCCTTTTTCAAAGATATCACTGGAAAGTTTGCAGTTCGGTTACATTTATCAATAGCAAAGAAGGTTAAATGAGTCACATATTACTACCTTAAAATTAGGTTTTATCCACAACTTTCCGAGGGCGCTCCTGTAAAAAATTAAGTGGGTGAAACTTCCGGTGACGCGGCGGAAGTAGCATTCCAATGGTATTTTGTGTGTTAGTTAGCGAAGAGGCTAGCTGTTTTTCGGAGAATTATTTTACTATTTAAAGACGCAAATCTTTATGAGAGATGTCGTTACGGAGCTCAGGGACAACATGTGCTGTTCGCGGTTGTATGTATAATCGGACTAAACTAATTTAGTGGCTTAAACCACGGGATTGTTTTGAACATAACCTGAAAACGAAATCAGAGTGATCCTCCCATCCTCCTGTCTCTGATCCTGCCAACGACTGTAGTTTCCATCACCTCCCAAAAGACGACGAATCTTCCTGTGTACATTTGTTTAAATTCTTAATGTTCTATAAACTCTATCAGCATGTGATTGGCTGTTCGCTACTGATGTTACAGCTAAACTCAGGATCAAAGCCTGTGTTGACAGAATACCAAATGTGCCAGTTAATGTATTCAAGCAGCACATTCATTTATAATTTTGAATAAACTCCAAAGCACAATGACTAAGTGTGTATTTTTTATTTGAATTGTTTGTCAGCTCGCACAACTGTCTGTCACCATGCCTTGATGAGTATTGATTATTAATAAAGTTATTATAATACTCCCAATCAACTACTGCGGAGGGTAAAGGTACTGTTATTTCACCCTTTTGAATTTCGTTGAGGTTGTGTTCCCACATCGTTATCTAGTTTGGATCGCTATAACTTGAATGACTGTCAACTGTTGAATGAACGAGTGTGAAGTATGTCAAGTTGCGCTTTGTTTACTTCCAACCGGAAGTCGCGCCCACTTTTGACGCAAGGCCTCATGGGGCGTAGGAAACTTGTGGATTAACAAAGTTTGGAAGGAGCACATTCAGATAATTAACTTGATTAACACGAGAAGAGCGCATTCAGTCAATTAACAATAAGAGGTACTATATACAGTAGACTTATCTCTTCGTTGACAGTTTATCAGCATCCCTCCACCACCCCATCTCCTCACTTCTGGTCCTAACTATTGGTCATGTCAAAGACAGAAAGTACAGGAGCGGTCACCACCACCACCCCGAGATGAGCTGTAACTCGCTGCAGCCTTGGGAGGAGTTGTAGCATTTGCCACTGCCTCGGGAGGAGTGTGTGGAGGTGTGTTCATACCCAAACGCATAAGATGGTCACTGCCATTACAGGACAGCACAGCCGATGGCGGTAGGACCACCAGACTTGGATCCACTGATGATTCGGGACCACCAGACTTGGAAGTGTTGCGACCACCAGAAGTAGATGCAATGGGAGTACAGGATTTGGGGCCACAGGACTTGGGAAACCAGCCACTCGCACCAGCATCACCGGTGGTTTAGCTACACTGGATGCCAGTCTCTAATGCTTTGGGAAAGCCATTGTTGCTTTGGGAGTGGCGGCCATGATGGCTGAGAACTCTGAGCTGGCGGCCATGACGGAAGAATTGTGTTCCTCTGCCACAACTCCCACAGTAAATACAGAGATCAATATAAAATTCCAGAGTCCAGGAAGGTTCATGCAATAGTAAGATCAAGCTAAGTTGCTCTGATAGCCCCCGTTCAAAAAAAAACATCATGAGGACCTTTTCCTCCATTTTGGCCAATTGAGCCAGCTCAAGTCCCATGGATTAATAAAATAAATAAATAAACAAACAATTGTATAAACCTTAATTTCCTGTTGAAGAGCTGTGTTTCCCTCAGAAAGGTCAACAGTTCTCTGAACTGCTCTCTCATAACCATCTCCAGAGCTGCTTTTAAAGGGATAGTTCACCCAAAAATTAAAATTACCCCATGATGTTACTCTTTCTCCATAAATTGATGCGTACGCCCGTCTGCCAGAAGATGGATACCAATATGGAAGAATACAAGAGCTGAGTGCAATGAACAGTGATAAGTGACAGACAGAATGCTGGGAATTGCATTTCTTATTTTCTTATGTCGCTAGTAAGCACAGTCAATGTATTTTTTTTTTAACACATCCCATAATTTTTTAAATATCGGCCTCTACCAAATGGTTGAGATGTCACTTAATGGTAATAAATGGTAAGTTATTAATAAATTCATACTCATACTTTGCCATACTTTTTCATTGCAAATGAAATCATAATTTATGATCAAAACCTTTTCTAATCTTGACAAAACACATTGTCAGAAAGGTCTCAAGGTTCCATATTTTGTAACAGAAGTGATATTTGGACAGAAATTTATTAATTTGTTACAGAAGCATACAATGAAATTCAATGGAATGAAATTTTTGGTATTATGCCTTAACAAAATCTCATGGGAACTTCGATTTTCGTGATATCAACTTCAAATTTGGAACACAAATTGGTTAGATATATGGCTTTGATTTTATAGTAATTTTGTAGGATTTTTTTTGTAATATATATATATATATATATATATTATAAAAGAAAAAATATTTAGTACACTATATTTTATTTAATATAAATTTAAAACTTCCATAACTTTGTCATACTTTTTTTAAGTGCTTTTACTTCAGCAATAATCAGAAGTGTTTTCTTTAAAACAAGATTAATTAGGTTTTTATTCCAAAGCATAACCAAGTTTTAATAGTGCATTGTAATGTCCATTCTCAAAAAGGGGGGTGACAGTTAACCATCATATGCCATATCAACCGTTTGGTTGAGCATGTTTTTGAAAACTTATTAAAAACATACTTACGTTTTTTCATAGCACCAAGTAATATCATTTTGTAAAGTTAAGGCTCTTGCAGTGTAACATGTAAAAGAAATATGCTTAGTTTGCAAATATGCTTAGCTTTTGGACATGATAGAAAACGAGCTACCAAGTTGCGACAATGTCATTCACTTAAAAACAATCAAGCAAAAAATGCCCTATTTAATTTTAAGGCTCAGAGAGAGGGTGAAAAACAACCATGCAAAACCAAATTATGGTTGTTTTAGTCTAACAAAGTGACTTATGTTAAGTTAGTTTTGAGTCTAACAAAAAGTATTATTGTTAAAAAATGCTTGATATAGCCCTTTTAAAATGTCAGCCATTCAGTAATCTAATGAAACAATGGACACAAAAGGTAGTTCTGAAAATAACACTTTTTATTTGCTTCTAAATTCTAGCAATTTAACACATGTCAGTGATACGCCTCATGCTCATGAATCTCATGTTGCTAAATCCCATATCTCTGAAGCTCCTGTACTCTCCTGGCCTAAAGTATATCATCCTGCCTCTGAAGTGGGCCTGCTCATACATGAGCCAGTGACCATCCATCACATGACAGGACTGGCAGTCAGACATACGGAAACGATCCATGATGTTTTCACAGTCATCCATCAGCTCATACATCTGTCCTCCAAAGTTATCCCTCTCATAGATCCTCATCCTGAATGATCCCCTGTACTGTAAAACAAAGAAAGATTATTAATTTAGCAGTTTTTCAGCAATGCATGCTTAGAATACCATACAAATTATGAAAAAAACAACAACAATTGTGCATTGTTAAATCTGCACAACACCATTAACAAAGTGAGACCCTTACTGCTGGAATCATGCGGCAAGATCTGATGCTGTCGAACATCATGCCCATGCTCATCATGCGCTGCATGTCATGGTACTCGCCCCTCCTGAGGAAGAACTGGTTGCCCGTGAAGCTATTGCGCTCATAGACCATGAAACAACCGCTCTCCACCCTGATGGAACCAACGCGGCTCAGGTATGAGGAGATATCAGAACAGTCGTTAATGCACTCATAGTTGCGGCCCTGGAAGTTCCTGTCCTCGTAGAAGATGATCTGTTGATGGAATTAAAAAAAAAATACAATGTTTTTTAAATAAACAGAAAGCTTTTTAGATCTGAATTGCATCAGGTTTCAAACTAACACTATCAAACATTAAGCATTTGTATTAAGTATACTTATTTCAAGCACTATTACCTTGCCCATGGTGGTGATGTGTTGTTTTTTCTCAGTGTTTCAGCTCACTGTACCAGCTGTACTTTGATGGCCTTTGGTTGTGGTTTTTATAC